AGAGAGAACGAGCACAGTGGGGCGTTGTGGGGCGTTGCACAATCCAATCGGCATTTTCAAAAACTCATACTGCTGGCCATTGACACTGAAAGCCGTCTTGTGGCGATCTTCTTCTGCGATCGGCAGTTGCCAATATCCCGAGCGGAGATCAATCAGAGATATATGCTTGGCGCTGTGAAGGCTTGAGAAAATTTCTTCCATCTGAGGCATCGAAAATGCATTCTTCACAGTCACCCTGTTTAGTTCTCTGAAATCGATGCAAAATCAATAGGTTCCGTCGGCCTTCTTCGTCAGTAGTACGGGTGATGAGTACGGGCTGTTCGTTCGCCTGATGATTCCTTTCGATTCCATCTCGGTCACCTGCTTCTGTATCTCAACCAGGGTGTTTTGTGGAGTTCGTCTGAAGATTGACTTACATTGTCCTCCTGGGATCAACGGTATTCGGTGTTCGACCCAATTGCACAACCCGTAATCATCTTCCGCGTCTGTGAATAAGTGGGCATACCTGCTCAGTACGTTGCGTATTGACCGGTTCTGACAATCAGGCACGGCTTTGAGGGCACCCACCCGGTCGGTTCTCCCTTTGTTTATCTCGATCCCATCGTTAGCCAAGGTCACCACATCGTTTCTCAGGTCAATTGTGATACCGAGCCGTTTCAGGATGTCGGTTCCGACGATGGTTTCGGTCGTCTCCTCCACGATGAACATGTCATGGCGGATGAGCGTTTCTCCTATCCTGATTCGTAACCGCTGCGTGCCCGTCACTTACAAAGAATGCCCGCCGACCGTCTGCATCGTGATTGAAGATGGGTTTACTGGAACCCCGTTGAACCTCTTCGTAATTGACACTACCGCTCCTGTGTCTACTATGGCTCGGACAGACACACCTTCTATAGTTACCTGGAGGACTGGTACTAGCCACCGACTCGGCATGGATAGAGAGAAACAATGGGGCACATTGACGTTGGTGCAGAATCTCGCCACATGATCACTCTGGTTGCATCGGAAACAGCGGCGACCGTTCCGGCTTACTCGTACATTGCGTTGTGAACGGGTGCTTGAAGACTCTATCGACAACAGCTGCTCCACCATTTCGGATAGGCGATTTACTTTCTGTTCCAACTTAGCATGCTGGATGCTTCTCACTGTCACTCGTTCCGACAAATTCTGGGCGACCGTCACCAGATCCAACGCTTTGCTGTCTCCCACCATCGGCGCCAATTTCACCGGATCACGGAGTGGATCGGGCAGACTTCGGATAAACTGCTGTTTCGGTAGGCGCTTTCTTGCGTTGCCCTCTAACTCGGGGAGCCCAATCGTTAGATGTCTGTCCAGCTGCTGGAAAAACACCATCAAATCCTCCTGTTCGTCCCATCTGGCTGCGTGAAGTCGTTGCAGTGCTCGTTCTCTCTCCAGATCCTTCCCAAATTCTGAACACAATGCGGCCCTCATCTCAGCGAACGAACAGCCGGGTTGGGCCTTCCAAGTGAGCAGATATACCGCCTTGGATCGTCCACTCAACCGTGTGCCGAAAGCAATTAGCAAATTTGCATCCCCCTCACACCCGTGCAAGCCGCAATTCCGTCGAACTCATCGAGCCACGCCTACACGTCACCGGCCGCAAATTGCTCCAACCGGGTCAACTCTATCGCGGATGGTCACGGCACCAGTGTAGCGAAAACGACACGACAGGGGGGTAGACGTTTATTGCATACCGAAAATGTGACTGTGAGGGATGCATTCCCGATGCCTCAGATGGAAGAAATTTTCTCAAGCCTTCGAAGCGCCAAGCAGATATCTCTGATTGATCTCCGCTCAGGATATTGGCAACTGCCGATCGCAGAAGAAGATCGCCACCAGACGGATTTCAGTGTCAATGGCCAGCAGTATGAGTTTTTGAGAATGCCGTTTGGATTGTGCAACGCCCCATATACATTCAGGCGTTTGTTGCTGATGGTCCTGACGAACCTGCAAGGCGTGTTTGTTTATGGTGATTACATCATCGTCTTCTCTGAGAAGGAACAGGAACATGTGACCAGACTTGGAGCAGTACTGCAGAGACTAGACGAAGCTGGCCTGAAACTCAGTCGTAAAAAGTCGCAGATTGCCCAAAAGTCAACTGTATGCTTGGGTCACATCGTGGGCAATGGTCAAGTCCATTCACTTCCGGAGAAACGCGAGACGATCAAGTGCTTCGCAAAACCAAAATCCAAGCGTCAGCTCCGTTCGTTCTTGGGAGTGGTGGCATAGGATTCAAAGTTTGTGCCCCAGTCCACAAAGAAGGTCAGCCCGTTGTTAAAGCTGCTTCGCAAGGACGTGCCGTTCGTGTGGACAGCTGAAGCGGATCAAGCCTTTGACCATCTAAAGGCATGCATAGCAGAAGCACCGACATGTCTACGGCTACCCAATCCTGGTGAGAGGTTCACTGTGGCTGTCGACGCAAGCAACGTGGCCATCGGT